TCTCCCTCGGCCCGTCTACCTCTCTCTCGTGCGATTTATCCCGAGAACGGTACAAGGATGTTACTCTATATTATTTTAGTGTATATATGCTTTGAGATGATGCCTTGTTGGGAGATCTCATGTTAAAGCTTGCTATATGATCGATTTTATTCGCATTTTATTTGTTTATGTCATTCGATTGTGATTTTGTGTTAAATCGTGTTAATCGCTGTGGATCTATGGAACACTTGAAGTCTTTAGCCTGATGATTAAGGCCTTAGACGAAATTATTGATTGATTTAATTGTTGTGCATTTTTGAATCGTATTGTGTTGCTGGATCTTCGAAAAATCATTTAAATTTTTATACTCGTCCGATTGCTGCGAAATTTGACCTGTATAACCCTCTGATGATGTCATAGCTCGTGTAAAAAGTTCAGAATTCTCGGAGGTCTGTAGCTATTTTTTAAAAATTATTGTAATTTCTGGTCAGATTCATATTTAATTTATAATAAATTGAGTTGTGCTCTAAACTTTATTAAATTTTAGTATGTTGTCTTTCTATATGATTACGATGTTATGTAAAATTTTTATAATTTTTAGACTGAGATGGATAGGGTAAATAATCTATTTAATGTTTTTGCAGAAAAACGTTTTTAATTATGATAAATCGGTCCTTTGCTAAATAATTCTGATATTTGGCTGAGAAGCTAGTTTTATGTGGAGTGTCATGTTGTAAAAAGATTTGAATTTTTAGAGCTCAAATTGGTTCGGTTTTAATTAAAATTTGATAAACTGTTGAATCTTGTATGAATTTTCATAATTTGTGTATTTGATGTTAATTGCTGGAATTTGTATATGTTGATCTCTAGTTGCTGAACTTGCTCTGGTAAAAATCTCATGTGTTAATTCGTTCGTTGGGTTAGGCTTTGAATTGTATGCTCGTTTTTGCTGATACCGTATTTGAATTTTGTAAAATCGTGTACTTTGAATTTGAGGCTGAAACTTGGTGATTTTTCTAAATATTGGGGAGTGTATTTTTGGTTAAAATTGCAAAGTCTAGTTCATAGGGAAACCTATTCAACTTAATTTTAGTGATTATTGGCTAGTGATTGTGAAATATGACTTTTATGTTAAAAACTGTAAATCGTCATACTTTTGTACTTGTTTGTTGGACTTGGTCAATCATTACTATGATTTATGTGAACTGCCATGTATGATTTGTTTGAGTATAGTGTCGAGTCTAAGTGTTCCAAAGTCCACACAACTTCACGAACGACTTGGTCGACGCGAGTTCGACCAAGTATGATTGTGTATGTTTCTCTAAGGTCAAAAGTATTGATCTTAGTATAATAATTTGTTGTAGGTGTTTGACGAGCCGTGCTCGCCGCCTACTCTTGACTGTGCTATTTCCCCTTATTGCTACACCAGGTGGGTTTACTTATTCAAAACTTGCTATGCCATATATGTGTGTTTCTTGTTGAGATGGTATGATTTTAGTATGTATGTAAATCATGTAGCCTATCGGCGTGAGCCGATGTCGGCCGTCGGTACGGTTGTCCCCGTCGAGTTACGGTACGGTTGCCCTTGAGAGGAAAGTCTCCGTAAGACCTAATGAAAGGCCGTGTCCGTTACAGTGGCACGTACCCCCATGAGTTAGGGTAATGAATCCCCTATCCTTGGGTAATGAAAGATGTGTACACGTGGGTAATATGTTATGATGTGATGTGATTTGGAGACGTGACAAATGATTGCTTTATGTTCATACTCTAACCATACTTCTCTTCATTATTATGTTGTGATATATGTGCATAGTGGTGAGCATGCTTTTCATCTTGTGCTCATCCCCACCTGCTCTTTACCGATGCATGTTAAGTGACAGCCGGGTGACGAGGAAAGGACGAGTTGGTCGGTCTATTTATTTCTGCATTATTATGGCTTCCGTTGAACTTGAATAAATTTGTTGCACGTTATGTTTTGTGCAAACTATTTTCAAAATTGGTGTGAGGATTTTGAATCTTACGAACCCTCGTAGTTTTGGGATTGATGTTTGACTATTTATTTATGAGTTGTGTTGGTTGATGAAAACCGCTTGTGAAAACCGGGTAATGAATCCCCGTAGGCCCAGATAAGACTTGGGTTATGAAAATGTTAGTTAACACCCACTAAGTGTTCGAAAATGATTTTGAAAATTTTATACTGGTTTTTGGAAAATTCGAAATTTCTGTAAAATCAAAGTGGGGTGTTACAAGGCCGATCTATCTAGTGCTTGAGTCTGCGAGATACTCGACCCGCTGTGTAACACCCCGCTATTTACTGAAATCAGAGTACGCTTTTTCACAAATTTTCTAATTAAAATAATCAAAATATTTTTTTTTGCGAAAACTGGTTCGGAGTGTTACCATAAAAATATAACTTTTCTGAAAACCGTTAATTTTAAACTGATAATACAAAAGGTTATATAATATATTAACCGACTACCGTCGGATCAAAGCTGATTTAAAGTAATGAAACTGTAGCGGAAATGTAGCGTAGCCAAAACATATATATACATATCAACAAATATCCTGAACAGCTTGTCAGCTCACTCCTCGTCCCCGACTCTGTAACCTGAAAAAAAAACATGAAATACGTGAGGGCGTGAGCACTAAAACACTGTGCTCCGCAGAAACTCATAATAAAGTAAAACATTGAAAATAATAACAATATCATGATCCTGGCATATATAACTGAACTGAAACTGAACTGATAACTGATATCTGATACCGGTACTGAATAATCTGATACTGATCTCGTGACATACGTCACCTGTCTGAAACTGAACATCTGCCGGCGTAGCCGGACACCATGTGCACACTCTTGTGGGCAGATTAAGGCCACTAGAACCCAGAATGGACCGGCGACCATTCCGAGCGGATACTGAGAATACATACCTCAAACATGGTAGCGTAATTATAATCAATGTAGTACTTAGTCTGAGTCCCCACCTGATCCGTGAAAATGAAGGTAGTGCTGATGCCTGATCAAACTGAAATATAATATAAACAATTACTAAGGATTATGCTCAGACTGATAAATTAACTGATTAATTATGTTAAGATTCTCTATTAGACTCGACATGATATTCAGATTTAATTGGTATAACTGGAACCGGTTAAATACGGAACTGAACTGATATAATTTTACTGAACTGAACTGGACCCGGAATTTTAACTGAAAATAGTACTAAAATCAAGAACCGGGACTAAACCATAAAGATATGGACTGAACCGGTCCAACCGTTCTGAACCAGACTGAACCGGCCTGGACTGGACCGCCGGTCTGCTGAGCCGGGCAGTCGGGCGCTGGCTCGGCCAGCGGCCTGCCG